CGTGTCAGCCACCAAAAGCTTTCCAGATCAATTTAACCACAGAAATGTACCCTCTGGATTAGCTAGGGTAGCTAGCCTCAAGCTAATTTGTTAAAAGAGGGGCACCTGCTTTGTGTCGTATTTTTAGTGCTCATAATGTCATTTTTTTTAAAGTTTTATTTAGCTTCATCTGTTTCGAGAGTCTCGTCTAACTATGGAAATAAGACTCGGGTTGAACAATAGTGTACTTTTTCTTTTGAGAATGCTGGGACGTGGAAAGTCTCTGTCTCACACACACACACACACACACACACACACACACACACCAATTGTTAACACAAACCCTGCTTTGTAAAATACAGTTCTACTGCTGTCTTTGTTGAACTTCAAATTTGAAATTGTAGATTTCTTTTTTTTCTTTTGTCTAATAACTCCTTTGTATATACTACTCCAGATTTGTATGTAACGTTTATGGTAGTAATTTATTTAACTTGTCTCCTCAGTAAGAAAGTTCCTCAAGCACCACTTTATTTTTAAATTAGGAATTCAATGTGCCATTTGTTTATTTCTGTATTGTGACTAATGCTTTTTTTTTTTTTTTTTTTTTTTTTTTTTTTTTAAATGTACAAGTAAACCCTCGGATGTTTTTTCTTTTTTTTTTTTAAAACACGGTTGTCCTTACGCAATACCATCCGTTAATGCAGGAGTGGAAAGTGGTGTGTTTAGTGGAGCAGGACGCCTCTGGGCTGCTTGGATGGGACGCTGTTGCTCACACTGATGGGATGTTCTGGATCCAGGTTACAGTCACAATACATGTGGACAGAGGAAGTTCTGCCGACTGGGCTGCTGTTCCTTCAATAGTCAGTGACGACATGAGTCATCGTCCCCGGTTGGGCTGCCTGATGTGCTGTATGTCAGTCTCCATAATTAAATGAAGAATGTCAGAAAGTCCATTTATGCACGGTGTAGCAAAAGATAGTTTAGAGATGCCAAACATGCTAAAATTGTTTAATATGTATTCTGTATGTTTAGTACTTTATCGGGAATTAATTGTTCAACGCCCTCTGGTTGAAGGTTTCAATCCACTTGCAACAACGGCCAACCGTGATGTCACGGTGTACTGACCCACCCTGCATGTCCACTGCTATCTATGGCAAGGAGAGAAGTAGGGCTGCAAACTAGTGATTCACAGGTGATGTTTTTAACTGACTAACCGTCTCCAGATGTTAACGTTAACAGCGAGGTCCAGAGCTTAAGGATCCTGTGGTGTTTTCATTGTCGTCGTACCAACAGGCAGACTGAATCACTGCTTCGTCGGTTATCGACTTCAGCGTCCATGAACAGTTTACTGGAGGTCTGGTGACCAAAAAACCTAAAGCACACAGCCAGCATCATACATGGTTAAGTTCCAGGTGACCTTGTCACCGCTTAAAATAATTTATCCCCGAGGAACAGGTGGACCAAAGTGACAGCAGGAACCTCTGCAGCAGCCAGAACCAGCCCGTAGGAAGACTGTCCTCGTGTTCTGACTGGAGTCTGCATCCAGTTAGACTCAGCTCACCTTTTCACTCTATTGTACTCCTCTCTCCAGCAGCTAACATTAACCACAACATGACGTAGACTTTTTATTTATTTTTCTCCTTTTTTTTTATTATTAGAAATGACTTTCTGAGCCGGGTTATGTTGTCAATCATGTCAATATAGTTTTTAGAATCCAAATAAAAACTGTGGGTTTAAATGTTCATCTGTCTTGTGTGTATATTGAAAACTTTAATTAGTTTCACCTTATTTTTGTAGATCTTCCCAAAGTATGAGCCATTTTAGAGTGGAAAAAGCATTTAGAAATGGCCTCCACACACCACAATTGCTGAGTATTGTTTAATTTCCTCTTGGATTCTTTTAACTCTCTTTCAAACAGACATTTTGGTATGATAAAATATGTCAAACAAGTCATGGAGTTTGTCAGATAGTCATAACAAAGTCACTGTACAGTTGTAGGAGCCCAAAAGGACACTTAACTCCTCATTGTGAAGAACTATGCTGTTAGACTGGTTGGCGTATTTGCGCCCCCTTGTGGCCAACCGTGGCATTGCATGGTTGGTTAATTGGCACCTGTTGATTGCGTCATCGTAATTAGTAGCAGCTGTGCGCAGGGCACGCTGCTTCAGGACAGCAGGAGCCGAACTAGTTTAAAATATCGTTACTTGTTCTTTTGATGAAGTGAAAATTTAAGTTTATCTTCTTTCTTTACTTTGGGTTGCCGCGACATACCCTATTTTGGTTGATATCGAGTAAATCAACGCATAAACACGTTACCGTTCTTTTAATTCATCAAATGGACATCAAACCGTGAGTAACCTGCTGAATGAACGGAACTTGAGTTACACAAACATTGTTGTACACGTTCTTGTCGATAGAAATGTGGAAGAATGAAGCCATGTTGGTGAATGTGAGGTAAAACAAAACTCATGACAGAAAATAAGTGTTTGTGATGATCTGTAGCTCATTTTGTAGCCTGTTGGAATGCAGACATGCGCGACCCCGAAAGTATTCACACGGAGCGCGAGAGAGAAACTCAGAAGATGTGACTAAACCGATAAACCGCAAGATTGAGCAACTTCTTTGCGTGTATGACAATCTGAGCAATTTTTAACGTTATGAGTGTATTCTACAAGTTGACTTAAAAAAGGTGGAAAACTAGATTGCAGCCTCGAAAATTGCATACTGGTACTAAAGAGTATTTCTGCAACTACAAGGTCTATTTTAATCATTGTGATGTTATAATAAAGGGAACACTTGTGAGATTTGGTCAGATGTGTAAATATCAGTGTATATGTTAATGGTTAATAGTAAATGAAGATGGCACACAACTCAAATTGAAAAGTTTCAGGTTTGCCTGAAAAAAAGCACTTTTATTATTTCTTTGGAATTATGCAGCTGCAAGCCTAAACACTCCCAAATCATAGCACAATATGTGAACAGTCTGCAAATTTTGACTTTGATAAAGTGAAGCAGAACAAAATTGGAGAGGTTTTAGTACAGAGGTCAGGCGAGGTCAACCAAATTGTAATTTTATATACTATATATTTCACTTGTCTTATCACTGTTCAATCTATCCAAATACAGCAGTTTGGCTTCATTTTGAGAGCCTGAATCCTCTGAGCCTGTTTCTGTCGTCCATGGGATTTTCTTGTCTGAATTCCAGTTTCCCTGTGTGTATGCGGGCCTTTCTCAGCCTATGATTGGTCGACTTCAGTCAATGAACCCTCCTTCGACATGTCAGAGTCCATACAATTGAGTGGATGTAACGTGGGATTGATTGACAGAATCGTTAGCCAGTCAGAATCAAAACCGCGCCATCCCTCGTGGAGTGTAAAATTCCATTTGCCAAAAAGTCAAATCCCTACCCCCTGGTCCCCTAAGTTAGGTAGAC